GACGGGTGGAAGAGGCTGGCAGTTGATATCGCCGATCCCTCCGGTGAAAGAAGATACAACCAAATGCACATCAGGTCCTATACGGGAGTCACGTGACGTGATCTTGTTTCTTATCCGTTTGATGTAAATCCTCTTGTCTCTCCCGCTGCTCTAAGTTGGTGCTGTTCGTGTGCTGACGGGTACCTAAAAACTAGTCTTACGGCACCGGTTCCTTAGGGGAGTCAAGGTAATCCCTCCTACTTGTTCTGTAGGTCAGTTTTAAGACAAGCTAATAGAATGGCCAAGGAAAATTGCCTGAGGAAATTCAAGTTAATTAGATCCGCACACGTTGATATTTTCACCGATACAGTGTTGGCTGCCTAACTTCTGTACCCCAAAGACCACCTTTGTACAAGACACAGCTGGTCTGTGACTCCTAATTTATTTTAAAATGTCCTGCAAATGTGGGGAGCCCAAGGCCCAAATCTAACAAGTTTCATTTATAAATAATGTCAGCAGTATTTTATCAACACCCTGTTGCTTGAAGGGCTTGTTGAATCCTTCAGCTATTTCAGAGGTCATGAGATTTTAAATACCCTATGTATCATCTTGGGTTTCCAGTCTTTCTAGTGGTGTTAGCGTTAAATCTTTGTTTGTCTTTCTGTATTAAAAATAAAACAGTCAGAATAATAGACCTCGATTTCTGCTTAATGCCCATGTCAAAATGCTCGAAGTGTGAATGCCAAACAGGTGGAGAACACTGAATTTTTTTTACATTTGATCTGACTCTGACTTACTCTGTCTCTCTTGCCGACATTCACTTCTCTGTTAGTTCCATGTGCCAATATATTATGAGTCCTGGATAAAATGTTGAAGCCAAGTATGCATATTTTTCCCTCAGTTTTTTATCATATTTTGTATATTTTCCCTCTGAGTTTGAATTTCTTTAGGGTTTCTAGCTGCATTTTCAGAAGACTTGCAAATAATTGTGCAATACATTTCAGTACCTTCAGAATTTTCTTCTTTTTCTTCCCCTTCTTCATGGTTCTGGAGGTCACTTCTATTTTTTAATGTTGGTCTTCATTTATCTTTTAAGGAGATTTGAGGCATTCGTACAAATGGGAAAGAGCCCCACGTGTGAGTTACTTTATGACTGGGGAACAACAAACTGTACAGTCGGTGACCTTGTGGATCTGTTGATCAGGAATCAGTTCCTAGCACCAGCAGGCCTTTTGCTTCCAGGTAACTGTTACCCCTGTGCATTTTGTACCATGTTCTCAGTTTTGTAAGACACCGAAGAACTTCACAGTAACTTGAGACTCAGAAGAGATTAGGTCGAAATAACAAAAAGTGGATGTATTTTCCATCATTTGTAGTAACAGTTTTAAGTAAGAGTTTCGAATTTAGAAAGAGAGTCCTGCAGTGTACACATGGTGGCAGAAGAGATGCTTTTCACAATGCTTACGTGTCTCCTGATCTTAGTAAATACTGACATTAATGTTACTTGTTTTTCCAATTCCTAATGTAGTTAACGCTTTCTAAATTCCCTTTTCAGAAGCTGTAAGGATGGCACAAGAAGTTACAATACCTCTTTCTTCACAGGAAACTTTGCCTATACATGAGAAACAACTGCCTATAGGGAAAAAAGAGGTGGAGTCTGTAAAGCCTGTTTTAGCTCAAAGCACTGAGAAGCAACATTCAGGTCCTCCTTCCTTAAGTCAAGAAAACAGCAGCTCAGAGTCTAGTAACACAGGTAGGCATTCAGTTTGACAGAATTAAGTAGTCTTTTTTGCAGTTCTGTTCTTCTCTCCATGTGAAACCGACATTTTAGGTTGCTACCAGAAACAACCTGTGATCTAGATGAATTTTTACATCTTGAGGCAGCGTGGCTCTGTGTGATCTCTTGCACCATTGATTTCTATTACCCGTATTACAAGTATGAAAAAATGAAATACAGTCAGAAGGCTGCTACAGTGCTAGTTGTGAAGAAAATTATGTATAGCTAATTATATATATTTATTTGTTTGTTTGTTTTCCTGGTAGCTTCATCACAAAGCTGGAAGTAAGCCTCCACTATGTCAGGATTTGTGTCATAGCAAATATTTGATTTAACAGAACTGAAGCAGAAAAAGCTATTCAATACACCTGTTTCTCAAGTGAAAACACAGTGCCGTGCTAAATGACAAATTTGTCTTTCAGGTTTCCACAAGTTTTGGTTCCATGACTTGGAGAGCGTCACAAACAACTTTGACGCGCGGCCGGAGTCGGCTGGAGGCAATAAGCTGGGAGAAGGCGGCTTCGGCGTCGTGTTCAGAGGCTGCATCGCGGGCAGGAACGTGGCAGTCAAGAAGCTTGTTGCCGTGAGTCGGCTTGGGCATTTTTATTTTCAAAGACTGTGTCCGCTGTAGTATAGACTTGTTTGTCTGTGGAAAGTGTGGAATGATACGCTGTGCTGAAAGTGGATCTATTTGTCCAATAATACTGTGTTCCAAGGAATTGAAAGTCGTGTTCTGATACTTTATTTTTGAGTTGAGTAAAAAATATTGTAAACAGTTAAGTAGTCACATGTGACTAATTTAAAGGAAGGCTTACAGTTCTGTTATTTGTTTTTTTTTTTAACAAACAACTATGCACTTTAATATGGCCAGCAATATTAATGTCAAATCCTTCCTTTTGTAGATTGTTGATGTTAGCGTTCAGGACTTGAAACAGCAGTTTGATCAAGAAATAAAAATTATGGCAAAGTGAGTACAAATCACAAATAATGTAAAGTGAGAATGATTCATATACAACATGACTGTTTTGTTGATTTGAAAGCACCACTGCAAAACCCGGCTATGTGCAAATGGGGCTGGAACAAGTAATTTGGGATTAAGTTTCCTCTGCCTTGTATTTTCCCCAAAGACCGAGAGTCTTTCAGAGCATATTCAAGTAGAATTCTTTTGCTCTAGGTGTCAGCATGAGAATCTAGTGGAATTACTTGGTTTCTCAAGTGATGGTGCACAGCCATGTCTGGTGTATGAGTACATGCCCAACGGTTCATTGCTTGACAGACTTGCTTGTCTGGTAAGTAAAATCTTTTCCAGCTTCCAATTGTCTTACTTTGCTGAAGTATAGATATCTGTGAAATATCTGTGAACAGTACTGAGCTGTAATGGCCAAATGATCTTTTACTACTTCCATGTTTTAGAAGACAGGTACTGATAACGAGTACTCTTCCAGTTAAGTTTCATACAAATGTTTTAGACATGTGAAAGTCAAAGCAGGCTGACGATAGTGTCATGTACCAGCACCTGAAGTGGCACAGGAGCCTCGGCCTTGCTGTGCCTGCGTGGAGCAGCGCAGGGGGTGCTGTAGTATTGTTCTTGGTTCTGACATTGGCCTGGTCTCTGCTGGATGCTGCATTGTGAAACTGCCCTTTGTTCGTTGTCCTTGTGACAGTGATTGTAACACGTTGTTTGCAGTCCGCATATCTTTCTGAGGTGCCTAAACAAATAGGCAAGGCCTCTCTTTTTTAGTTAGTGTTTTGTGTAAATGCAGTGCTTTCTTCTCATTTAATCAAATGACGTGTCTTCTAGCCTTGGTGTTTCGTAAATAATGAGTTGCTTTGATTTTAGTGAGGCAACTCTGTGTATGAAGAAGAAACAGTTGTGTGTTAGAGTTGATACCAAGATTAAGCCACACTTAACCCGAGTGTCCATGTTAGTTTGTAGGAATTAAAAAATCTGCTCTATTCTAAGCAAATGCAGCTTCTGAAGTTGTAATCTCGTGAACATTTCAATCTGGTGCTGGTGCAACACCACATATCCCCAGAGCTACAAATTGTTGCTGTGGTTTTTTTTCTAACCTGTACTGGGTCAAGTATTTTAGTAGTTGGAGAAAGAGCTGGGTCAAGGAACTAATCAGCCTGAAAAAAAATACTAGATGAAAAAAATCATTGAGATGTTTCCTTTTAAAGGCTGCACAAATACTCCTGTTCTAACAGGAAAGAAGTGGTTTTAGAATGAGTGTGTGTAGCAGTGGTTGGGAAAGAACTGGATATGTTTGGTAGCATCACTCTCTCAGGTTGGTTTTGTTGATTTGCTTGCACACATTTGTACACTTAAAATTTTTAATGTTTTGTTTTGTTTTTTTTTAAACTGAGTCAGTGCAGAAGAGAGACTAAGTTTTACTTAAGGCAGTGCAAGTTTATCTGTAGAAGAGCTTGACAAGGATGTACATGAAAGTGTTCATCCACGTAGCACTGGTCGTTATCATCAAGTGAGCTTAAAAGTCTGGAAAGGCAAAGTAGAAATAACTGAGGCCTTTACAAGGAAGAGACACTTATGACCTAAATCGTAATAAGTCTAAATCAGAATCTATAAATTAAAATTTCTTCTGCTAAGTCAAACAGGTGAGGAGTGTGCCTATTGAATGGGAGATCCTGCTGGGAACTTCATTTTGAGACTTCACTGAATGTGTTTGAGGCATGGATTTTTGCTTGTTATCTTCTTGTATGGGCTTTGAGGAGAGGTGAGGGAGATGGTAGAATGACGAGATGCTCTAATCCTCTCCACTTGCCTGCTAGCAAGATTATGAAATGGTTTCAAAATGTAGGTGTCCTCAACTCTGAGGTCGAGTTCGTAACACGAATGGCGCTAAAGTCTTGCCAAGTGGTAAATCCGAAGCCACTGGAAGATTGACTTCTCGCTGTCAGTAAAAACCGTTGATTGCTTTGGTGTGCTTGCTTTGGGCTGGAAGGCCCTGCTATCAGTGCTGGTACCAAGTGGGAGGTGCAGTAGGTACAGGCAGTTCTTTGCAGTGCAGCTGCCTTGTAGGGTCCGACTGCAATGTTATCGAGAACACTTTTTGCAACGGGTGAATTAATCTCAGATAAAATACAGAGGAAAAAACTGAATGTGACAGATGTGTGTATTTTTGCCCAAGTCAGTTAAGAAATGTACTCTTTTAGTCATCTTAATGATTTACTTGAAAACCACACAACATAGCCAGAAATCTATGGATTGTGGGAGTTTTATGTTTTGTTTTATGTGAGCATAGATAAATGATTTTCACTTCTTGACTTGCCTTACTCCCTTCTTATTTAAGGATAACACTCCACCAATTCCTTGGAGTACAAGATGTAAAATTGTTCAAGGTACAGCAAATGGGATCAACTTTCTGCATGAAAATAATCATATTCACAGAGATATTAAAAGGTAAAAGCTACTGACTGTTGTGGGCTGTGTTTTCCTTTTTTTTTTTTTTAATTTTTTCCCTTTTTTTTTCCCTTTTTTTTTTTTTTTTTTCCCCTCTTTCTTCCCCTTGTTAAAGTCATTTCAGAGAGAACAAACTGCATTGTTTCAGTCAAGGGCACAATTTTTTCTGCAAGTGGCATCCATCTCCATAATCTCGCCTGTGCCACAAGGACACGGCCAGTGCAGACTTCTAAAGATAATTATGAGGTTATTGTAATCTGTTACAATCAAATAGTTACTTGAGTGCCGTCAGGACACCCAGAAGTTCAGTCCTGTCACAGCTGCTGCTAAGGAAAAAACTGCAGAGAACATAAGGATGTTTTAATTGGGGGATTTTTCAGATGAAAACCCACCTCTTTTTCCTAGACCATTTCTTCAGAGTGTCTCCTTTGATTCACTGCTGTTTGTTATTAAGACAGTAAAATTACTTCTGTCAGGTTTATGAAGTTCAGGGTTCTTCAAGGATAATGTATGTTCACTTGATTGTTACACTAGAATTTTTTTCTAGGGATGTAAGAAAAAGTGCTCAGAAAAGGTGGAGGGGTTTCTTCTAGAGTTTGGTGGGTTTTTTTGTGTTTTTTTTTTTTTTTTCCCCCTTTCTGTTTTTGTTTGTTTTGGTTTTTTTGTTTGGTTTGGTTTGTGTTTTTTTAATACCAAAGCAGTCCAAAACTTTAGAGGAAAGCCTCAGATGCCCTATTCCTTCAGTGGGTTAAGAAGGAGCAGCTGCCTGATTTGGTGTCATGAATGAATGTTTCACTAGCTTTTTGGCTTCTGGCAGCCCTGATAAACGTAGGCCACTTTGGTTTTGTGATTTCCCAGCTTGTGAGGAACAAACTTTTGCTTCAGCTGCCCCACAGAATGCGCTTGTTGCTTTGACAGTTTTTCTTCTTTCTCCCCTGCTTAAGCCTCTGGACAAGCGTAATGACTGGAAGGGACACATTTTTTACCTTCTCCTACTCTACCCTTCTAACTGCTGTGAGTTGATCATATTACAGGATTGGGTTTTGGTATTTTGTTTGTTTGTTTTTCTTTCATTTGGGTTCCATTTTGCAACCTCTTGCACTTGCAGTGTGAATAGTACAATAAATTTGATAGGAGTTATTAATAGTGCTGCCACTCCCAGGGAAAACCTAGATGAAGAGGCATCTAAGAAGGTTTACTTCAGTCTCCATTTTGCTGTGATTTGCAGAGACTATTTATTACCACACAGGCACTGGAACAGCTTCTCTGTGGGCTAGAGGCAACAAGACTGAATGGGTGTCCACCATTTTTGGCTTGGCTATGCCCAGGAAAACATTTGTTTATCTCTTGAAGCTTGACAGTTGCAGTAAAACTTGCTTCTGTTGTGTTCTTTGTGGTATATCAAAAAAGTGACTGCTCCTTGAGCTTGACTGAAGTTGATAAGTTAGATTTATGAAGTTGTGATCCCGTTCTTTCCTCTTCTAGAAGTTGAGCTTTAACCAGTTGATGGTTGACACCTTTCCTAGTGCTTGGCCTTTTGCAGTGCTCTTATACTTAATACTATTTACAGCAGTTCTAAGACCGAAAGGTGTGTCGTAACTTAGAGCTGCTGGTTTTGTTGAGAAGGTTTGCTGAACAAGAAGGGGAAGTTAGAAACACAAGTTTCTAGTAAGTGTTACATGTTGTATCTGGCTGCGTGGTTTTCTTACAGTTCTGTTAAGGGGGTCAGAAAATTAGGATTACAAAAATGTTAAGTTATTTTAAAATGGTTTAAAGTGCTGCAGGTTTAAAATAGTAGATGACTTATTCTGTAATTCATCCCACTGAGTATTTTATGAAAGCATTAAGGCCTTTTAGATGATCCTCATTCTTTATTTTTTTTTTTTAAGGGAAGTAAAAGCTGGAGATCAAGTGGGAGCACAGCACATATATTATTCCAGCATTAATAAGTTTTCTGTTTCTCTTCCAAGAGAAAAATAAGAGTATTAGTATTCATTTGGCACGTGAATTTGTAATGGTTGACATAGTATTAGATAATAGGTATAAAAACCTGCTTTTGTTAGTAGAGATTTAGACAGTTAAGAACTGTAATGTTATTCAGTACCAGTTCATCAGAGCCAAGTGTTCTGTATTATCCTTCTTAAAGAAAGAGTACACAGATCCAAAACATGGCTGTAACACAATCAGTCTCCTGTGAGAAGTTTTTATATTTGTAGGATTTAGGCAAAGGGAGGATGTTGGTGGGTTTTTGTTGTTGTTGGGTTTTTTTTGGTTTGTTGTTTGTGGGGTTTTTTTTTGTGCATGCAAGTACAAGATAAAGCATGGATGGATCCTGGCAGCCAGTCCTTGATTTACTTAAAGCAATTAACTTTAAAATTGAGCAATTTCTCTTTTTTTTTTTTTTTTTTTTGTTGTTGTTGTTGTTGTACGAATTGCTAATACGTATTTTAGATTGCAAGTCGGTCAAGCTAGCAGTTTGCATTTGGTTATTAAAGAGTTTTTAGTATGTTATAAAACCTAATTACTGTACTGGTTTGGAAAATTCTCTTTTCTCTTTTTTTTCCACTCCCCTTTCCTCCAGTGCAAATATCTTATTAACTGATACGTATATGCCCAAAATTTCTGACTTTGGACTTGCAAGAGCATCTGTAACATTCACACAAACAATCATGACTGAAAGAATTGTTGGAACAGCAGCCTATATGGCACCTGAAGCTCTGCGAGGAGAGATAACACCTAAATCTGATATCTTCAGTTTTGGAGTAGTAAGTAGAATGTGGGAAGCAGTATATACTTTTTTTTTAAAATGCTAAAAGGATAGAAAATCAAGAATATCTAAAAGGAAATAATCCACTTTGATCTATCGTTTTTCCTTTTCCCAATAGATGTGTCCTCATGACAGTGTCTCTAAACTTTGATTGCTTTACAGTTATTTGAATATGTTGATTAAAACATTGAATTTGCTAATGATTACAGTAATTATGTTTAAATGTAAATTTGTATGTGAAAGACAAGAGCAAAATAACAGTCTGTATTAGTTAAATTTACATTCCAACATAGCTAAATGTAGTTTAAAGTAATGTGGAACATTGTTTCTTCTTGTGTATTATTGCACAAAAATGTAACTCAGGCTGAAATATTTTTTTTTTAAGAAAATATTCCAAAAATTAAGTATGTTTTATTGTTTTTAAGCACCAAAAGTATGCTCTCCAGGTGATAGTTGCCTTAAAGCTGAGTACAAAAAAGGCACGAGCTTGATATTTGGGAGAGTGATGAATCTATTCAGAATAGATCCAAGAGCCTAATTGTTATTGACCACTTCCTTATGACATTCAGTTTCACGGGGAGGTAGACCAGACAGTTTTGGAATGCTTTGGAAAGTCTTCCATCTTGCTTTGAAGCAGCACAATGTGGGGTGAGAAGAACTTGCATTGAAACTCATCAGCCACACTGCTAATAACAGTTAAGGAAAATAAAGGTAGGAACAACAGCAGCAACAATCAATTATATAGAGAGTTATCTTTGGGCAAATATCAAGCCTGTGAGCATTTGATTGAAAAACTGGGGGTCGTGCTGCTTTTTGTAGGTGTTGTATATGCTAAGGATTATTCTATGCTGCATTTTCTGTTCTGATTTTTTTTTTTTTTTCTCCTAGGTCTTACTAGAAATAATAACGGGTCTTCCTCCAGTGGATGAAAACCGGGACCCACAATTGCTGGTAGGTTCTTTCTGCTTTCTCCTCTCCTCCACCCTGCCCCAGGATCACTTTATATGAAATTATAGTCATTTAACAAGTTCTAAGACAATCAAATTAGTCATCAAAATATGTAGTTATGAAAACAGCTTGTGTTGGTTTTTGTCTTAAAGATAAGGCTGAAACTTTTATCTTTTGGCTGTTAGAAGATTGTTCAGTCCTCAAGGTCATCTTCCCATTTGATGCTACAATTCTCTTCATGTTGTCACTGCTTCTTATTATAATACCAGTATGCTTCATCAGCATATTCCTGTTATCATAGAATCATAGGGTTTGGAAGGGACCTCGAAAGATCATCTAGTCCAACCCCCCTGCCAGAGCAGGGTCACCTAGAGTACATCACACAGGAAGGCGTCCAGGCGGGTTTTGAAGGACTCCAGTGAAGGAGACTCCACAACCTCTCTGGGCAGCCTGTTCCAGTGCTCCGTCACCCTCACAGTGAAAAAATTTTTCCTGATATTCACCTTGAACCTCCTATGCTCCAATTTGCACCCATTACCCCTTGTCCTATCACAGGTCAACACTGTAAAAAGCTTAATTCCATCTTCCTGACACTCACCCCTTACATATTTGTAAACATTGATGAGGTCACCCCTCAGTCTCCTTTTCTCCAGGCTAAAGAGACCCAGCTCCCTCAGCCTTTCCTCATAAGGGAGCTGCTCCACTCCCCTAATCATCTTTGTAGCCCTACGCTGGACTCTCTCCAGCAGCTCCCTGTCCTTCCTGAGCAAGTTTTCAAAATGTTCAGATGCTTTACAATGTCAAACTCTCTTGTAGTTGGGTATCAAAGATGAAATTGAGGATGAGGATGCAACTATTGAGGATTATGTTGATGAAAAGATGAGTGACTGGGATGTACCTTCAGTTCATAAAATGTATTCAATTGCTGATCAGTGTCTGAATGAGAAGAAAAACAGAAGGCCAGACATAAAGACAGTAAGTAGTCTTTCAGGTAAAAGGCTTATTTTGACACCCCCACCAGCACCCCACCACCACCCGGGTATGTGTTGTTACAAGTATCAGTTATTCATATTTCTGTGTGTTCTTTTGCAGGTGCAACAGCATCTGCAAGAGATAAAAACTTGATATGTGTTTCTTCTGATACACCAATGGTTTTGCAATGGAGTAGACAGCAGTAGCAATTATTGCATTACTATTCAGTGCAACATTATCAGCTTTCCTGCTTTCCAGAACTTTCTGGTCTACATGTAAGGTGTGCCGTTGGCCTGTCAACACTGTGCTTTTCTTGTCAACTGAGCAGCCTTTTTACCTACCCGTAGCCACTGAGCCCTCCACGTGAGAAGACTTGTGACAGCAGTGCAGTTGGTTAATACAAAACATCTTCTCCACATCTTTTTAAATGCATATTAGCATCTGTTTGATTGTTTTGCTTTCCAAGTATGAGGTATGTCTGCTGCAAAGGCATATGGCAGTAATAGGGTAGAGTGATTTTTTTGTGCAAATTGCATTCTTGGTCAGGTTTATGAGACCTTTTCTATTGAAGACAAAAAGATTTAATATATATAAATGGCAATTATGTTGTCTTTTGGGGAAAAAATAATAGTGGCACCCATTTAAAACAAACTTTAGCACTTTAACTTGAGAGTTCATATTAGTGTGAATGGACTGGTAGTGTTTGGGAATGTGACTATTTTTCAAAAAACTTCTTGGGATTAGTTTTAGTCAAATAAGTGCTGCAAGACATGGGCATTTGTTTTTTTAATTTCAAGGATTCCCGAGTAAAATAATTATCTTGCAGTGCAAATGCATAAATACAGATGGCTTTCTTCTCATGAATTCTGTACAATGACAAAGCATTTCATTTTTCTCCATAGGAAGACTTTTAGCTATTTTGCATGTTGACACTTCAGAAAAAGATTCCATATGGATTATAAACACAGATGGTTCATTGTGCTAAAGGGGCCAGAATAGTAATTCCGTTAAGATGAAATCTGCATTTTCCTTAGACAAACATTTAAGCTTTTTATACATATATATGTGTATATTAATAACTAAATATTAAAATATACTTTTAAAACAAGTACCATGGAAAGCTTTCTGAAATGGAAACATTGATGCATCAAAGCAGACTCAAAATAAAATGAAAGTGACTAGCAAGATTCCAGATACTTTAGACTAAGCAGATATGAAAATAACACCAATGTAAATGAAAGAGGCTATCTTCATATAAACCCTTTTTGCAACTCATTAACTTTTTCCTTGACATCTTAGGAGTAGGAAGATAGTCTGGCCTACTGCTGAATTTGAAATTCTGTGATTATTGAAGGATAAAGGAATCCTGAGAAATTACTACAATCAGGGATGTGTATGTGTCTTTGGGGAAAGCATGTGATTTTTAACACTTGTCTTTTTAATCATTAGATCTCTGGCTGTTTGTTAACTCACTCTGTATTATTGCCTTTTCAAACTGATGGTTTACCTTTTTCTAAAACTACTCAAAGAACTTCTAGTTTTATTGAACATAAATTGTAAAAAGCTGTTAATTAAATAAAACCTCTGCATTGTCGGTGCCGATGATTGTTTCTGCTACTGAAACTTGGAAACAACTGCCTTTTAATGTTGCTTGACTTCTGTCATACAAGACCATGGCTACTTGCAGGGTTGCTGTCAGTACCCAAGTTTTGGCAGTAGTTTTCCCTCACTCACTGAAAATGAAGCATGTTAGCTACCATCATTTAAAGTTTTTTTTTTTTCCTGTGTGAAATTTAACGTGCTAGTGAGAAATGAAAATGTGTTAGGTAGCTAGCTAACTGATGTGTGAACTTTTATTAAAATAAATTACACAGGGTGCAAGAAGGAATTTTTTTTTCAGGTCTTCATAGAGTAAGACACTAACAGGGCTGAGAGTGAGTAGCAGATTTGTCTTGTTTATTCCCTGCAAAAACACCAAATTATCCTAGGGTAAATACTTTGTATTGAATACTACAGTAAAGCTTTCCAGGACACAAATTATTAATTTGAGTCATTCAGGGTTTTTTTTGAATAAAGGGATGATCTTGTTCCCTAGAACTAGAGTTGAGAATTTGGTACAGTTCCTGGGGGGTGACAGACGCTGCACACGGGAGCTGTTCTTGTGCTAGACAGGGCTACCATGGCTGGCCTAGGTCATCTTGGCAGGGAAGGTGCTGTGGAGGGCAGCTGAGGATTGCTGTCCTCAGTGAAGGAGCCAGCCTTTCCCAGGTTAAGGAGCTAAAGAGCATATAGCAATTGAGTCACCACAAAAGGAAGTATGAACAAAGAAATAGCAAGAGTGATTTATTGCCGTTCCAACTAAGACTCTAGAATGCAGCAGCAAGGTAAAGAAACAATGCTAACAAGCCAAAGGAAAGTGCAGTTAGGGAAACACCTTGTGAAGGGCAACAGCTCTCCCCTTGGCTACCACAGGAGGGAACAGAAGGGCTGTGAGCAGAGCAGAGGTGTCTGCACAGCCCTGGGGCTGGGACAGGCACAGAGGCCAGGTCAGCAGACACCGCACTGGAATATGGCAGCGTTGGATGGCCTGTGGCCCATTCACTCTGAAAAGGATGCACAGTCTCCCTTAGTTATTAAGCCTCTATCAAATTTTCTTGAGCAGTTTGTCCAGTTGCCTTTTGCCAGCCATGGTACTTCATATTACTGAAAAGGGAAGAATTACCTCATCTTTGTATTCAAACTTTAACGCCCACTGACTGCTTCTGATACTCATGGTCACACAGAGGCCTAGCCTCCATTTCCTCCTCTTACCGTGCTCCTGCTCCTCTCACAACAGCTTTTTTCCTATATAGTATCTTGCACTAAAATTATTCTCTGAAATCCTAGTTCAACACATCTTCAAATTTCCTTCTTTCAGCTGTAAAACTGCCACGTCACTGATTTCAGCAGGGGGATGTGTTGGCAGGACAGTTCAAAGAAAAGCCAAACCACTGAATGTTCTTTTCAGCTTGAATTTTGAGGGCAATAGGAAGTCTTCGAGTAAACTATTTTCAGTTTAGACCAAAAAAAAAAAAAAAAATCAAAGGAACGACATAATTTGTGTGGTTTAATTCTACTACCTCATGCTGAGCAAGTAACAAGAGATAGAACCGTTAAAGCACTAATCAACTACTTCAGCATTTTCAAAAGGATAATAGAACTTTTTGAAGGGGCTTATTCCTGAAAGCATAAAAACCCCAAGATATGAACACACCTGGCTCCTGCTATGGAGGCCTCTGTGCTGTGCCATAAGGCAACAGGATAGTAGCTCATTCTGGCATACAGATTCTTCTCCAAAAGCCAGGAATTCAGTTTCCATCCAAGTCCCTTCTTACGCCCTGCAATCACTTTTTTTATACTGCTTTCTAGTCCTGCAGGAAGTACCTGTTAAATATTGTGATGGTAGAATATAGATCTTTGTTAAAGAGATTACAAAATGATTCAGACAACACCAAACTAAAGCATCAATCTTTATTTATAAAGTAAATTACAAAATAGATACAGTAAACCTAATTTTAGCATCTGAAGATGGTTTTCCTTGAGTACACAGACACCGTAAATCAAAAGTTTCCTTTATCAATGTGTTTATCCAAGTAATAGAGCAATTACTACCTTTATTAGTTTTACAAACCTCTGCTAGGAGTGTTTTGAAAGATCAAATTCTTCCTACCTTGCAACATAAACATTTAAAAAGTAAATTACCTGTCATGTTAATTAACTATGTAATAGCTTGTGAGTTAACTGCAAGCAGCTACATTGCTTCTGGGCTTTATGAAGGCCAACAGCAATTTGAATGGACACTTTCAATTATTAAATGACCAAAGACAGTTAAAGGAATAACTTCCATTAATGCCCTCATTGATGCTGGCTCTGAACATTCGTTAACAGCAGTAGTGTTACATGAGGCAACTACGCAGATGTAAACGTGACAGATCTTAGAGAAAGATCAAAGGGTTCTTATTGCTTTGTCAGGAGAACGGCCCCAGGGGCCTGGAGAAGTGGTCGGCAGTGCAAGACTTCACTCCCTTCTCTTTTAGGGGCAAGTACACTCAGGACAACTCGTTGCTGGCTGGTCAGGTCTTTGTACACCCACACAGAACGTTTTCAAGTAACATGACTTAAAATGTCTGGTTTGGGCCGAACTCTAAAGCAGCTCATTCTAAAGGACTTTACATAATCCCTTAACCAGCCCACAGCATCCTCCAGATTAAGCTTTCTACCTTCTATCCTCATCTACCTCAGGCAGGGCTAGGGAAAAAAAAAACACCAAACAAAACACAACACGTACGTAACCATATATCAGGTCAAACTGTTCATTATGTAAAACATGAAGTTCTAAAAGGCTGAATTCCCTTATTGGCTCAAATAAGTGTAAATATGTATGTGCACTCTCTGTGTGGCTGACAGGTGGGCAGGAATACATTCAAACAAATAAACCTCTAGCAGTAATTTTTAACTGCTACACTCAAGGGTTTTCCTTAAAAAAACCAAAAAAGCCAGAGTGAATTTGGTGTGCTGGCAAGATTGAGTTTTACTAAAAATATTTTTAATTACAGTGTATAATGAGCTGCAGACACATTAACCATGTTTAAAAACCAATGATGCTTGCCTGACAGGTAGTACACAGAAGAAACACTTCAAAGACCAGCTCCTTGCCCTAGAGGGAGGAGGCAAGAGGCAGAAGGACGCAGTAGCTGAAGGCAAGCAGGAGATTAGGTGAGGATCAAGAGCTATTGAATTGGATTGATGTAGTGTGTAAGATTAAATGAAGAAAGATGAGGTGTCAAATTCCTACCGCGTATAAAAAAAACACAGTAAACCCCAAAACTATTGCAATCTTCACATTATATAGTGCAATCTCAGATGTCAGTAACAAGCTAGTATCTCCAAACAAAATATTTCAGAAGATAAATTTTATCAGGAACTAGTAGTGTCAA